TCAAACATTTGCGCAAAACTTTACTACTTAAAAGAGACATACCAAGTATATGTTCATAGTTATTGAACCGAGGATGTATTTAAGAAATTCTGTAGTTTTCCAACAAGAGACCCATTAAGCATGTCCAACTAGGCATACCATTTGATGTGCTAAACAACTTTACATGCCTTAGTTGAAGAAAAATGGAATTTGAGCTCAAGCTAATTTGGCTAAATTGAATTCATAAATGTCATGATTTTGAAGGTGAGAAGTTCGCTTTTTTTTTGTATTCAATGACTTTGATGTTACGAAAATGCGTCTAACGATGATTTAGCAGAGGATATTTCATTAAACTGACTTCTCTGTCCAGGATCATTCTATATGTTTAATTTTTTTTGTTTGAAAGAACATGTCAGGATGCAGGGTTCATCAGAGTCATTTTTTTAAAATTCTTACTTTTTAAGCGGAAGAAAGGGATCATAATTTCAACGACGAACAACTATCTAAAAATGATGCTCTATTTATACAAGTATTTGTACATATAGTAAAAACGAAGCTTAATTAAAAAAATGGCTCTTGTAGGCACTGCATCTTGACATTCTCTTTCCAATAAAAAAAATTTAAATATGTTACCTGAGCCTGGATAGAGAAATTTCTGTGTGCGTTCGAGATATCATGAACTGAGAGAAAGCGAAATACAATTTCGTTTTTTCTGAAAGCAGCTTATTTTTCGAATAGAGGATGACAGAAATCTATAAACATTTTTGGAAAACGAAGTGTCGGGTAAAAATTGTTGTCGTTTATGAGATATCAGATCATGAGCGATCTTCCTTTGCATTTTTCCCAGTTTCGGTGATTCTGACGAAAAGTGATTTCTTTTTTGGGGCGGACGGGGGCAGGCCTAATATCAGCATCAAACCTTGTGGTCGAGTCCAACTTGACACAAGCAGTCGATAAAAACCAGCTATGTCCTTTATCACACGCTTCATCAACGTTCATTTCCTCATCTAAAACTATCATGCCTGCTACTACCAGCAGCAGCTCAAAAAGCAAAATGTTGTCGTGCTTGAGAAGCATGTCTACCGAAAGTGACTTCGACTACAACAATTGATATTGAAGATGATCCAACAAAAATGTTTCTTGAACGGTTAATGGATGACAAAGAGACAAAGAGAAAGTTCACATCAATAAAAAAAGATGAAATCTATGTAAATATCGATTCGAATTGGACAAAAACTGTTCAAATTCATACTTATTTTGACATGAACATGAAAACCTTTTCCCAGCTTCCTCTATAGAGCCATGTTGTACATACCTAATATCACACAATCCAGCTGCTGTCGATAGAGAGTTCTCGGTACCAGAGAATTTATCAACCAAAGAAGACTTAATTTACATTCCACAACTATAAATAATTTTTTTTTCTTCGTTCTATAGAGAGTAACACAAAGGCTTATCAGTGACCAGTTATATTCTTTTTTTACTACTCTATTGTTGTGCCTTTTTTCCAACATGAAGTCATACGAATGATATGGTCAAAGGAAAAAAGATCTCATAAATACTTCACGAGATAGTGAAGAAAAAATAATCAAGATCGGGGCGGGGCGAACGAGGAAAACTTTACATGGAGCTAGGCGAAGTGAGCGGCGGGAGGAAAAATATAATGAGGTCGTGAAGATATGAGGTGGGGAACTAAAAAGCTGTCCCGTTTCGGGCTCTAGTAGAGATCAAAATTAACTTCAATGATTCCAGATAGGGTGTGGGTGTGGGCTTGACGGAAAAAAAGATAAACACCCATATCCACACCCATACCCACCTGCACCCACACCCACACCTACACCCATCCACACCGACACCGACACCCACACCCTTCTATACCCTATATTACAAGAGAATGAAGCTTTGAAAAGAAATGGCACCTATAGGTGCCATTGGGCAAGGAAGGGTTAAGCAGGGTGCGATTAGGCGAAAGTGAAGAAAATACATCTACTGACACGATTCAGGAAATGAATGAACTGATTTCACTACTAGACTTTCAAGGTAAGAAGAGCAAATAATATCGACTTACTCTTGGATACAGACGACGATGTTATTATTAATAGAAAACATTTTCTTACAAAAGCACCAATCTATAATTTCTGTTTCAGAATAATACAACTCGAAAGAACAAAATGAAAGTTATATTACACTATCATAAATTATGATTGTCATTTCTATTTATTCGAGAAGCATTACCAACCGTTAGTTTTCAGTTGAAAACTAACGGTTGAATCAATTCAGCATTTTCACCAAGTCACTATGAAATACTACATTATAGATATGAGTGTGAAACCGAAAACTTTCTCGTTTATGAATAAGTTAGTATACAGAGAAGGGATGCTTCTTCTAGAAAAAGATTACTATCAAGCAGGATATCGCCTGACGACTCGCAGTGACGTTTTCTTCTATCAGTTAGAAGTGTGAGGACTTGCTGTGAAAACTAAGCTTGATTGAATGAATAGATGTTTTTCTCTTTCTTTATTTCTCCTTCAGACTGTGATTTCTTGATTGTGTAGCCTATTTTAGAGAGATTTTTAATCTGTTTGCCTAAAAGTATCGCTGTCACGACTTGAATATTGAATGCAACCAGCTCATTGGCGACATATGACTTAATGTCAAGTATTTCATAAGTCGAAAAATTGTCTACGTCGATTATTCTCTATAGTACATAGATTACATATGTCAAAACCTAACATTTTTTCCAATTTAATATCGATGTATCTGAAAATATCTCATACATCATGTAGGTCTGAATGAATTTAGCGGCACCAAACGAGCGAATCTGCATATTTCATGATATCATTCGAGAGTCATATGCTTTTTGTATTTTAATGATGGCAACAACCTCAGTTTTGCTGTTCTCTACGATTCCAAAAATAGCGCAGGTATGTCTCTTAGATCATGTCGATGTTACTTTATAGAGGAAGGTGTAATTTTCATTGCAGTTTCTGATTTGATTTTTTGATTAATGCCTCGATTTGCTGGTATCAAATATAGCATCATTATCGCCTTCATTCAATTCCATAAACTCGAGATAATTCAAAATTTCTTGGTAGAAAAAATTATGGAATGAGATGGAATGTAGGCACACAAAAGTATTTTCTTGTCAATAATAGTTTTTCACTAACCATCTGTTCATGGATGCTCACTCATTGGCACTTTTCTCTTTTCATTTGCACTTCTTTTAGCAAGAAATAGTTATTGACTTTTCTTGATCAAATCTAGTAAATGTAACTACTAGATGATTTGCTGCTCCATACTACATTATAATGAAACTTCAAAAACGAACTGTTCTAAACCTCAAGTTCTTATGTGACAGGTTGCTGTAGTACATTGACAGTAAATGAGAACAATGACAAAGCAAATGATACCGATTTCGAAGAATAATTCTTGAAAATTTGTTGAAGCTATATATTATCAAACCATCATCGTTTGTGTGGTGTTTTTGATCGAATCCATGCTGTTATCGTCGCTCATTTTCTTCCTCCATAAATCATCCAATCAGAAGTAACTTTGGTTTAAATGATCAGAATTCTGACTACAGAATTTGTACTGCGCCAAGTCTATTGAAAAGAATATTTTGAATCTAAGAACAATTGTATACGGAAACCCAGTCTGCTCTCTAAATGACAATCTACTTGAAGAGCAATTCCAAAATGAACACTAATTAAAATTTCCGATTTCTAAAATAGCTTGCAACCAGAGTTGTTCCAACGTGAGCAATATTGCACGGAACACCTCGGATTCAGGAATGGTGTTGTTCTAGATCATGAATCAGGAGACAAACGTACTGCCTCACCTATATTCACTCACGATGGTCAAGTATGGAACATACATGCTTGACAATAATTCAGTCATGATTTACTTTTAAAAACAACAATCGAATATAGTCAAAGGCATTAATCATAATTTCACCATCTTAGCAAAAAAAGTGCGTAAATAAAGAAACAAAGATATATTTCTTCAGAAACCAATATTCATCATAATGCCTGTGTGAAATATGTTAAATAAATAATATTCTCCTTCAGCCTTCATGCATTAGTCTTACTTTCTTGCATTATAATAATTAACAAGAATAGTAGCACAAATGTAAGACTTCACTTTTCTAATGAAAAACACTATCCAATCAATATCATTGATGCAAAGAAGCATCTAACAGCTGGCAAATACTTCGTTACCTTAGTGACTGCATTGTCGTTGCATGATATACTTCGAGCATTTTCTCTCGTCTTTCTCAGAGAAATAGGCATCGTTGAAGGCAAAAAAGAGTTTATATCGATTATTATTATGAGTACTTTTTTTCAGCATATTCTCCTGTGTTTTTATTTACAGTTTCAACTTCCGTTCTCATTTTATTTCATCATATAAGCAGACATGTATTTATGATCACATATAAAAACCTTCAACATTGATGTATAGTACAGTTCCCTGACATTATGTTACGAATTCTTCATTCGAACATCAAGAAATCGTTTACATATGTCGTAACCGCCTATATTTGTCATTTTCTTGACATTAAGTAAAGTAGTAAAGAACATTGACTAATATCTGACACATTGCATCTTGAGAACAGTGCTCAGATCATAACTGATGTTTTGTCTCACGAACTCTACATCATTGTAGAAAGCAACAATATCGATCAGTGACCAATGGAAACAATGGCAACTTTTATCACGTACGTCTTTAGCTTGTTTCGTATCTCAAGTAGTTTTTTGTTGTTGTTCTGTGTAGATGTAGAATAACCAAAGAAAAGCTACTCATTATTGTTAGTGTGATAGTTGGTTCAGCTATCTGCGTTGCAGCGATCGTCTTATCTGTTCTCTTAACTCGAGGTGAAGAATCAATAGTCTTGAATACAACAACAGCCTCCTCCGGTATGTATGCATGAATGTATCTTGCTGATTATCAAAATAAAACAAAATCGACATGGTTATGTATGATAACAATGGTTCTCGTGTTTTTGTATTTTCTCTTCGACTAAATTAGTACANACGTACTTGAGCAAGAGCATCTTGACCCAAATCAAAATATGCTATTTCTTCAAGAAATGTATCAAGTGGTACCGAATTCGGTCGACGTAATCGACCCTTTGATTGATAATAATAAAGAATAGCTTCAAAACATCCTCGATGACGATCAAAGAAATATTCATCAAGAATATTATCATAATAATATTTACGTCGTTTTGCATTGCCTAACAACGTATCTGGATAGACTTCAAGAGTAGATTTGAATGTCTCAAAACGAACACCACTTATATTAATGATAATTCGATTTTGAAGTGAAATATTCATAGGAACTTTTCGTCGTTCATTTTCGGCTATCAGCTGATGAGATAGATCTCGCATATCGATGACATCCCTGGTAAATCAATCGTTCGAGTGAAAATCATAAATTGTACGAACAGTGGAAGAAAAGGAAACAGTACGTATGTATAGGTGTCAGTTGTAACTTTTTGATGCAATTGAGATTTTAGCTGTATTTGACTAATAACCTTTCTTGCTGTTAGTCAATTTTAACAATTTCTTTATAGGTTACATGTCTCTGAATGTCCTACTGGTAAAACAAGTTCCAGTTCTTTAGCTCATACTATCACTGATTTATGAGCCGTATACTTTAAAAAGTCGATTTTGTAGAGCGTGCTATGTTCGATCGAAATATATATATATTCCTCACTTGTATTCTTATTTTTCTATGATTTTTTCATCCACGACACTCGATGACATACTTCGTGATTTTTGTGTAGAAGGACACTGTATTTCAATTTTCTTCTAAGTCACACAAGTTGAAGAACTTCATTAGCACATAACTGATAAAAGATCATTTCGCTTTAATGATCTTTAGTCTGTGAAAAAAAAACAATCTTCTTCTATAAAATTTATAGTCACTCCCTTTGTAAAAGTACATTTTGAAAACTACAGTGTAAATAACTCGTGAATGGTTCGTTTTTTTCGGGTTCAAATATTTATTGAAATTACATTGTTTAGAGTTGTGTGACCAGTTAAAAATTCAGCTTTGTATCTCCTTTTCTTATGAAGAAATTAAGAAAATATGATGCAATGTATAAGGACATTTTCCATTAAATTAATGTTTTTTTTGTCTATGGGTACATTTCTGTTGAAGTAAGTCGTATCTCAGCTAATATATGATGAATTATTTAGAAATCTTTGTTGTATAACATACGCATAGAGTGTAATAAAATGCACCGCATAAAAATTCTTTAGGTCTACTTTCATTTTTTTACGCCAATTATATGAAAAAGTTGATATTCACTCATATACGAAAATGTGAGTACAATAAAAGAAGGACGCAAAACTCATCAAAAATTTAGATTACTTACGAACTATGTTGATGTAAAAATGTATCATTCGTCTTGAATAGTTTTCGACTCCGTCTGAATCAATATACATAAACCAAGAAATATGAATAAGTCTTGTTATAGATACATACCTTCTTAAACTGCTAAGAAATTCACGATCGATTGACGATGATTTTCGATTAGTATCACCGACTTCACTTTGACGATGCACAGATGATGATGATATGTCTGGTTTATCCATGTTTCCGTGACCTATACGAATGTATGAGCATCGAGTAAACAGTCAATGAACAAGCACTATTTCAATTATGTCGGAGAATCTCGAAATTTAATCATTTTGTTCAATATCTTATCGTATGACAGTTTACGAGTGTGGATGTGGGTCTTCCTTTCCTTCTAACACACTCAATTGTAGTTGATTGAAAACCAGAAATCATTTTATGCTTATTCGATGCCAAATTTATTTCTCTTAGTTAAATATTTGAACTTTGTAGTTCCATTTATAATGAGAAAATTGTTCATTTCTAAGATCAGACATCAAAATGTCCTACGATTTGATCATCATGACAAAAACTTACGAAAAGATTAAGAACCATGTTTATTTTCTTTTGACATAGATTTCTTTCTATGATATATGACTGAAAAAGGAATTTCACTTGCATTATCAACTATGACTTCGAACAATGAAATCTTATCTTATTGTTTACTGATAGTTTATGATCAGAATTGAACAACAATTTAAACTGCTATTGTACTCAAACAATCACTATATTCAACAAGTCGAAGAGTAGCTAATAGACTGATGTTATATTTTTTGTGGATTGAATATTCATCCCTGCCAATCACCCTTCATTAGATTATTCAACCTGGCTTTGCTTATTTCAGGCTTTCTGTCATTTTCTAGTGCTCTATGAAATGTGAAACGATGTTGCGGCAAAAAGTTGACTCCTATTGAACTAGAGATTTACCCATGTGAAAAAACGACTCAAAATTAGATTATAATGGATTATTTTCGGATTAATAATTTATTATAATGGCACTATTTTAATCTGATTAATATCAAAATAATTTTTTCTTTTAATGCTAAAAAATCTGATTTTAATCAGATAAAAATAGTGCCATTATAATAGATTATAATCTGATTTTTTCGGCGTTTTTTTTATAGATGGGTAGTCTTCGTTGTCACTAACTTGTTTTGTGCATGCGTTGTCTAATTTATTCTAGACATCAAAACTTTGAAAAAGTATGTCGTCTAGGATTTGTAAAACCTTCTAATTTCCGACATTTCGCTTTCAACATTTTATAACTTTACCTGTTGAAGTCACACTGTAACAAATTCTGAATAAAATACAATGTATTGAAAGTTGAATTATAAGAACCTGCTGATTATCTTATTCAATGATAAGTATGAAGTTGTGTTTGCTGTTCGCTTGATTGCTTCTGACGTTCGATAGATGAAAGAATGAGAAAAGAAAAAAACTTGCAGCGAATTAGTACAGGTGAATATATTTGCCTCTCGCTTATCGAGACACAATTTGAAGCACCAATACTATTGATAAGAAAAAAACAGAAACATTTTACACGAAAATACCTCTCCATCGATAATCACTATCGAATAGGTATGGGATATGGATGTGGGTTCGTTTATCAGTATGGTTGAACAGAAAACGACTAGCACACTCACACCTCACAAATCTCAAAAAGTGTGCCGTCGCTATAGCATCTTCAACGACACATGTTGATTCTGTTTTGCTTAACTTCAGGATTTGACTTATTAAAATGTTTCTGTAAATGAAACAGTGGCTCCAGTGTACGTTGTATAGGCGCAGCGTGTTTTTCGCAAAGAAAAAGAGAAAAAATATATATGCACAGAAAGCAAATTTTGTGAGATCTATCCGAATGACTCACTTAGCGCCTACAAACACGTGTTACCTTTACCAAAAACAACAAACAGATTTTCATATTCATACCATTCTAATCGAAATAAAAACGTAGCAGAGAATAAGGGTGACGTTGTTAGATTCAAAATAAAGTACATCGGCATAAATTGACTTCTCATCTTTACAGCATAAACTCAAGTGAAGATTTGCTAAAAAAGAAATTGAAATAAGAGATGAAGAACAAGATAATCGACGGTTCTGAGTTGATCATGCATCAAAAAATCTACGACACAGACCAACTTAAACTCAACTTGCATCTACCTTGTTGAAATTCATCTTATCTTATCAGCAATCATATCCTAAATCACACATAAAACAATTGATATCCTTGTCTCTCTCTAGTTTTTGTCGATATTATTGGTCCTACAATTCTTCTAGGTATATCGATGACGATACTCCTCATTTTGATTTTCTCTCTGAATAGAGTTATTAAAACATATCGATGATTGAGATTTCAAGATGGTCTGGGATGATCACTCTCATCATGTATCAACGTGCACTCAATTGTTGGAGAATGTGAGAGACTGAGTTAACATGAGCAACTGTTTCTTCAACAATGAAAATAATGTAATTTTCTTCGAAAGGATCGTCATTAACTTTTTCAAAAACTCGCTAATTCAACAAAGCTCTTGTCGACTTCAATCAACGAACTTATAACACTGATATAGTGCTACTTGGGATTTCAATGTCTCATTCAGTGACCTTCTCTGTTTGATGAAAGAAGAATTGATGAATGGTATCATTTGGAAAGACAAATTATTTAATATTCTATTTTGTTTTTATATATTTCCAAATTTGGCTAGCACAAAAGATGAAAGCAACATGTTTCTCTTCACAGTGAATGTTAAACGCCACTACTTTATTTAACTGTTGTAAAGAACATGACAACAATTGTTTTATTCCTGATTAAGTAATTTTCGTGAATTTAATATGTATAACTTCCATTACTATCTCGAATGAACGAGAAAAATACCATAATATTTTCGATTAGGTATTATCTGATCAGATAGGTGTTGATGAACGTGTGTATGCGGGGTGTGAGGTTGTCCGTGGAGTACCTGTGAAACCAACATCCTCCACAAATGTTTCTCTCTCGCCTATGAATTTCGTAGGAACAAAAATCTTCCGTTAATTTTATTAGAATTCTACTGTGGACAATTTTAGGAATGCTTTCAAACTCTTAACCGAGAGAATATATGCACATCAGTTGGCTCAGAAGAGAAAAGTTCATCATATTCAGAAATATTTCTCACTCGGTAGTCAGTTGGTTAGAGAAAAAAAATGCTTTTGTTGATCCTACTAGAATATTACTGTTCTGTAATTTGAAGTGATCTCGATCTTCAAACTTCAACAGCTAAATAATTTGCCATGTCGTTCGACTGTAATAAAAAAAGTTCTACAAAATTGACTCATTTGGCGAGGATTCTTTAGCTAAGAATTTCTGTTGTTATTCTTGTCTGCACATGATTTACTTTTTGAAACTTTATACTGAATGTTTAATATATTTGAGGTTCGATGTCGATGTATACGATGTTACTAAGACATAAACTTTATTTTGTCGGCTAGGAGTTTGAGAGAAAAAAAAAACTTGTCTTGTAAGATCAAATTGTTAATCAAAGTGTAAATTGTATATTTTACAATGTATGTTGGTTTCTTTATGAAATGAACAGTAGTCTGCTGTTATGTTGATAAGGGTAAGGAGTTTTAGCATAAGTTGTTTAACAATTCACTAATTAACATTGAATAAAACGTTTACAAGATACCCAAGCAGTGTCTAAGTATATGTAATTGGATTACCTATATAACTTTTCTTGCTCTCGTATCGTCCTTGTTCACATAGTTCTATTCAAAGAACAGTACAAATTCTGTTCTTTATTGAAAATTTGGCAATCATAAATCTCTGCTTCAATCTTTTGCACTTCCAAAAGAGATTTTCGTGCGGAAAAAAAACACCCCTAGTGCTAGTTGCTTTTGAGGTGCGCCAGTCAGAGACCAGGGAAGTTTTTCAATTGACATCTACGTCTTAATATGTCCAAAAATATGTGTATCCTTTCTTTTACAAAGTCTCTGAATTGACTAACGGATTTCAGCACCACAAAACCTAATTTTGTTATCGTTATACTTTATTAAGATAATCAAGATCTACAGTCAGCCCTTCAAGTTACTTGGACGGAAAAGTTCGAACACTTGATTATATCCGATACTTCAGAACGAGTAGGGAATGTTTTTTACAAATTTTTTACTGTATAATCTGAAACATTTTTTTTGTTTTCATGTCAAAAAATGCACTGCAAAATTTTCTACAAAAAGTCGTTTAAATCGTTTCATTAAAAATATACAGAAACGGTAACATATCGTCTAGTTTCTAACCCAATAAAGAGAGGGTGTGGGTGTTGGTGTGGGTGTGGGTGTGTGGGTGTGGGTGTGGGTGGCGGTGGATGTGGGTGTTGGTGTGGGTGTGGGTGGCGGTGGGTGTGGGTGTGTGGGTGTGGGTGAGGGTGTGGTTGTGGGTGTGATTGTGGGTGTGGGTGGCGGTGGGTGTGGGTGTTGATCTAAACATCTTTCACACCCACACGCACCGTAACTGTAGTTCATGTTTTACAGAGAAGACATTTTTTCGGAGGACAATATTTCTAAGGACTGTTTCTCCGGGACATTTTTTACAGGGGACATTATATCCAAAGGACATGTTTTCAAGGACGAAATATCGGAGACATTTTAGACTGTACTCATCAAGAGTTATGCTATTTCACCTTTTGCAGGGGTAGCCGTTAAGAATTTAAACGAAAACAGTAGTGATTAAAAATAGTAAAGGACAAGAAAAAGCGCTGAGAGGAAATGCTTATGTGAAAACCGATTGACGGAAAGGAAGAAGCGATTCAGAAACAAATGATTTCTGTGCAAATGAAACAACCTTATCGGTCTACAAAATGCTAAAACAAAGAAACAATAAGTTAGAGAGCCCGTCTATTGAGTTCCTAGTTTATTGGTAAGAGAAGACATTGTTTGAAAAGTTTCCCGATCTCAGCCCTCTCCAAAAAATTCCCCAGCCTCAAAAAAGTACCCCAAATGCATGTCCACGTACACAGGTAGATTCTGTACTCCTGATCTATACCCACACATCCACACCCTCACCCCCACCCCGACACCTACACTCCCAACTCCATCTCGATACCTACACCCTCACCACCACCCCGACATCTATAGCCACACTCATACCCACAGCCTTTTCAACTTGTGCTATTCTCCGTTGACTTAATCGACAAATAATCTTGAATAGGCTTTCAGATTAGGGACCATTATCAAAGTATGATGATAAACTACTAAATCAAGAATAAACTTAACTACAGCATTTCACTTTATTTGCGTTTACTTTTCGAGTAAAGTAGGCGTGCTTTACTTTACCCGATAATGTAAAGCAAATAAGTTTTACTTTACCTGATAAAAGAAAGATAAAGTGCCCCCTCCCCCCCTACGTCGGCTATAAAACAGAACAGAATTCAGAAAAATATGTAATAAAGCAAGCCGAAATCAGTCGACAAACGGCAATAATGCTAGTATTTTCGATTGCTTTTCTTCTTCTAACACTATATCAACTTGACGCTCAATCGCACGACGAGGTAAATGCAGCAATAGCACGAATGCGTCAACATCTTCTTCATTCGACAAAGGAAACGGTTCAGGATGAAACACTTTGGTTACAAAATAGTGGTAAAATCGGCACTGGATTTGACTTGGTCAAAGGTGCACCCGTTTGTTATACGGGAGAATGTCAAATGGCAGGGTTTCGACATCCCGTTTTCAAACTTGATATAAGCAAAATACCTGAAGGATCCTGTACGACAAAATTGATTCCACAAAACGTTAATATCCATTGTCTGCCGTCAGTGCAAATAACAGCAAATACAGAGAGTATTTCTACCATTGATCAACTAATGAAGAGTATGAAAAAAGGAATTGAAATCTCTGGCAGCGCTAGCGCTTTCAGGAATTCATTTAGTTACTCTCATTCGCAAGAAACACGTTCGATGATTGATACAATAATTCAAAAAAATTCGACGGTCTATTTCACTCAAGCAACCATTTCTTGGATACGTTTGTCTGCTTTTTCACATCTGCTCAAGCTATCTGACGAATTTCGTGATATAATTAATGGTATGCCGTGCTGCAATGAATCAAACGAACTCAGTCAATACATTCGGGAGTTTATTATCCATTATTTTGGTCTAACGTATGTCAATAACTTACTTCTCGGCGGTATTGCACAGCAAAAAATTGTTATATCCGAAGAAAATCGAAAGAATCTCCAAAATAATGGTTTTTCCACTGCAGACCAGACTGAACTGAAAATTACCGCTGGCAATATTTTTTCCACTTCAGCAAAACTAGGAGTCTCTCAACAAATTGATCAGACAAAGTTGAATACATTCCACAGATATTCACAGCAAACTAGTATCACGACTTTTGGTGGTACGGCAAGTATACAGTCAATTGAAGAATGGTCCAAGACTGTTTCGTCGAATCCAACAATTATCCAGTTTACTGTTGCGCCCCTTATTGATCTTATTACAGCTAAGCGATTTCCACAGGATGCTAACATTGTGCCAAAATCACGTTTAATTCAACGTGAACTAGATAGATATATGACTAATCCCTTATTCTGTTACAATAATTGCTCGCAACATGGATTATGTGTCTCAACTGGATACTTTGCGTTCGGGCAATGTCAATGCAACTCGGGATGGAGTGGGATTGATTGTTCTAACACCATTCAAGCTCCAACAGGTTTGTCTATAAGCTTTATTCTAGGGTTGTATAACACGCAAGATGTGCGCTGTGCTTAATTCATTCGCATCTCTTGTGATTTTCACATCTCTCTGACGGTGCGTTTAAGTGATGAGATACCAACACAAACCACAAACTCACACCTTGCCTAGACTGGGTAAATGTCTAGAGAAGGATCAAAGATTTTTGAGCAAGCTGAAATGGCTTCGAAGTGGAAGAGCGCTGTTCAAGGACGAACTGAGAAGAAAATTATTTTTTTACATATACCTTCCCAAACATTGCCTGAATCTTCCTATTGTTTCTTAAGATATAGAAATAAGTCTTACAAAAAGTACACAGCAATCATCCGCTTAGTACATCGGATACCATTTGTTAGTACCAGAGCTGGGCAAGTCAAGTCAAAAATGCCTCAAGTCAAGTCAAGTCAAGTCAAGTCAAGTCAAGTCAAGTCAAGTCAAGTCTGACTTGACTTGACTTGAAAGTTTTTTTAGTGACTTGACTTGACTTGCGACTTGAGAAGCCTCTGATTTACCCAGTTCTGTTTCTGATAGGCATTGTTTTTTACCATGAAATAGAATTCTGAGACTATAAAAATTGATTCTCATCCGATAAGTGCTAGTAAATGTCATGTTCTGCCTAACTTTTAATCGGACTTGACTTAACTTCTAGGAAAAAAATTTCGAGGAATGACTTGACTTGACCTAACTTCTAGGAAAAAAATTTCGAGGAATGACTTGGCTTGACTTGACTTGACTTGACTTGGTCGAAAAAATTTTGAGGTGTGACTTGACTTGACTTAACTTGAAATTCTTTTTAGTGACTTGACTTGACTTGTGACTTGAGAAACCTTCAACTTGCCCAGCTCTGGTTAGTACAAGCAAAATATACTACTTTATTCATGAAGATCTGTTTTATTAATATCTGAAGTACTACATTTCGGACGTATTAAGAGGCGTGTACATGTCGCATTTAGGTACTTTCTTGTTTTTGGAAGATTTATATATTTTTATTGACATATTCTGTATTTGTTCCACTATAAGTAAATTAGACAACCTGCTTATTCTTTCAAACGGTTATGCTTTATTCAGGTCGTCTGGTTCCTCTATATCGATATGCTCGAGGTGCGTATGATCATTTTTATACCACATATTCAGAAGAAATTGGTACAACTACTCCTGGTAGTATCGGTCGTTTCAATTACGTCGCCGAAGGTGTTCAATGCAAAATATATGATGCGAAAGATTTTCAACCACAATTTACGCTTCCTTTATATCGATACGTCAACATTCGCAGTGCTCAACATTTCTACACGACCAGCTGGCAAGAAATTGGCACAAATGCAGTTGGTGTTACTATTGGAGTTTGGAAATGTGAAGGCATTGCGGGATACATCTACTCGATGCGTCGACCAGGCACAGAACCACTTCATCGCTACTATCACCGCAATAAGAATGCACATTTCTACACGACGTATGCTGGCGAAATCGGTACAATAACACCAGGTGCAGTTGGCAAATTTGGGTATACATATGAGGGTGTCGCCGGTTATGTTGTAACGCCCAGTCGTAAGTCACACAAGCTCCTCGTTGATTGAACAATTACACTTGTAATCTTGAATATGCTCTTTTTCAATAATTTTGACGTGTGGTAGCCGTGTGACCGTTTCTCTTTTCTTCCCTCAAAACTATTCACATTCACATCAACATCTTCAAAATCCATCAACTTACGATATTCCCTAAACTGAAAGGTTAGAATCTGCAAACAGGGATTATATGGATTTGTCTGCATCCCTGCCTATTTGAAAAACGTTTTTAAATCCATAACGTGACCCGAGTTGCTTTGGATTCACTTTCATTCCAATTAATTCTTCAGTTAGGAATTATTGGTGACACACAGTTGGAAATAATTTTTGAAGGGTGAGTGCCAGTGTGGGGTTGGACGACTGTGGCATGTGAGGGTGTGGGTGCATGTGGATATGGGCATAAAAAGAGAGGCCGTCATAATCTTCAAGCGATTAAAATTCCCCCCTACATTCACAACAACTGACACCCACACCCATCCCCACACCCCACGCCCCACACACCGTAACATATTTTCATCAAATGTGTCTGTATATAGTCTCTTGACGATCCATTCCAAATGTCATCAACACATTACAGAAATATACATTGACTGTCAAGTAGACATTCATAAGCAACATGAAATACACTAGACAACAAAGAACAGGGGAGCATAAGAAGCCGATTTGGCCCATATAATATTTTCAGTCACTTCACTGCCCACCCTATTCAGAAAAATGTGGTGATACTTTTGGTAATAATTTCAAGTCAAGCTGTAAGGATTATAAGCCACTTTGAGGGAGAATGCCTGCAAAAAAGTATTGAAGTTTCATTGGGCTCATAGTTGTCTAGTATTAGCTCAAAATATACGACTTTTAG